GGGGTGGGGATGGGGTGGGGTGGGGTCTATATAAAAAATGTGTCCACGTCTTGCACATAGCTCAGGTGATCAAGATAACTGCTGATGTACACACTACACACCTGTCTTCCTTTTCTCTCCTTCTTTTCTATCAAAACATCTGTGTTCCTTTGTTGGTGGTTGGCGGGTGCTCTGGTGTGGTTTGCTCCTTCTTTCCTATCAAAGATATATCGTCTTTATCTCCCCTCCTTCTTTTTTGGGTTTGTTACTCTCTTGTAACACCTCTAATCTTCGGCACTTATATGCCCTTATTGTGTTGCAAGTGCCGTAAAACTCTTACTAAAACTTGTTGTTGGGGTAACTTGGAAACGATGAGGGTGGGGGGAGGGGGTGATGAAAAAGGGGGGTGGGGGTGGGTAGTATTATGGCAATTTACTTCCTCTTTGTCTATCACCCCGCCAAAGCTGTATCACACACACACTGCTCCCAGACCATCTGACAAGACACAAAAGGCCATCACATGTTTCCTAAGACAGGAACAAGACGCAATTCCTCAAACAGACCGACAGCTTTCTTCCTGAAGTACATCTGTGTGTACATGTGTTCATTCTTCCTACCTGAGCTCATACATCTGTCGTAGTGCCTGTGGTATGTTTTGTTTTAGTAGAGGTTTTACGGCGCTCGCAAATGCAAAAATCGACACAAGGGTCTAATTTGTAGAATTTTTACTAAATTCATGTTCTTGAACTACAACATGCCTTTTATTATTCCATACTAATAAATCATAAAAACTTCAGCTATAATTGTGATTGACCTATAACTGTGATTGGCCTATATCTTTTTCCATAAGTTTTGAATCCGAGAAGTAACTCATTTTGTCAGCACGCTTCACAAACACTATCCGTTTTGGATTTAGTTTAGTAAGATTTTGTTTTTACGGCGCTCACAACTGCATAAGGTCATATGAGCGCCAAGGGGTGGATGTCAACAGAGAAGTCCTTACAGGGAATCAGGCTTACTCTGCTCGCCTCTCTAGCTTCAACAGCACAAAGTCTGCTTCGACTATCAAGGCACCCCGGAAATAGCAGGTCACAAGAGAGTGACAAATATACAAAAGAAGTGGAGGAAAAATGACAATAGTAAGGATGAGGAAAAATGACGATAGTAAGGATGAGGAAAAATGACGATAGTAAGGATGACGATAGTAAGGATGAGGGAAAATGACGATAGTAAGGATGACGATAGTAAGGATGAGGGAAAATGACGATAGTAAGGATGAGGAAAGAAAAATCATCTTACTGAAACAAACAACACACAGTATATATGTCGGGGTACATGAGCTTCTGTGTTGTCATTGAAGTATTTACATTTAATTCATTCTCGGTCATTGTTCTGTTTAGTTTGCTTTGTATATTTATTTACAGCGTATTGCTGAATTAATCGAACGTTGAAAAGCCAAATAAGTGGGTGGTTGGCGGGTGCTCTGGTGTGGTTTGTTCCTTCTTTCCTATCAAACAAAACTATCGTCTTTATCTCTCCTCCTTTTTTATGTTTGTTACTCTCTTGTAACACTTCTAATCTTCGGCACTTATATGACCTTATTGTGTTGCAAGTGCCGTAAAACTCTTACTAATACTAAAACTACGTGGACTCACACATCTGTCGTGCTACATGTGTTACTTTGCTATCTCTGAAATATTCACATCTATTCCTAGGTCATTGTTTCGTTTATTTAGCTTTTAAACATTTTTTACAACATATTGCTGGATTAAAAGTTTAAAAGCCGAATAAATAAAACAATAAAAAACCAAATAAAGAAGACACTGACCTTCCTAGAGAGAAATAAATGTGGATATGTTGGGGAAAAAACTTTCATGGGTGGTTGGAGGGTGCCACTGGTAGGTCCTACTTCTTTACTTTCCCTCTGTGGTTTCTGTCTGTCTGTGTGGGTGGTTGGAGGGTGCCACTGGTAGGTCCTACTTCTTTACTTTCCCTCTGTTGTTTCTGTCTGTGTGGGTGGTTGGAGGGTGTCACTGGTAGGTCCTACTTCTTTACTTTCCCTCTGTTGTTTCTGTCTGTGTGGGTGGTTGGAGGGTGTCACTGGTAGGTCCTACTTCTTTACTTTCCCTCTGTTGTTTCTGTCTGTGTGGGTGGTTGGAGGGTGTCACTGGTAGGTCCTCTTTCTTTACTTTCCCTCTGTTGTTTCTGTCTCTCTGTCTTACTTTTTCCCAGCAGTAAATGACCCTATTATTATTGTATGGATGTGCTTCTCTTTTCTCAAACAAACAAACAAACAAACAAATAGAGTGTAATGGACAACATAATAACGACCAACATTTATGTTCGGCGCTATTTACCGATTGGCGCAAGATTGCACAGCACGATCGTAGAATTGCACAGCTTGCGTTATGCGTTTAAACAATCGTATAATTGTGCAGCAATGTGAAGATTGCATTAATATTTTAAATTTAAAAAATAATTGATTTTAAAAAATCACTTCCATCTTTATTCTTTTATTCGCACCAGGGAACATTCAAAAGTGTCAAAATATGGAAATTAAAATTACCATATATGAAACTGAAGAGCTCACAAGAATGAAACAATGCCTGGTATCAAACTCAAAGTTCGCAAAGTACATTTAATTTATTTGTTTTATTTTTAAAATATTCTTTTCTTAAATTTATTTCCATCTTTATTCTTTTATTCACACCAAGGAACATTCTCAAATGTTTTCAAAAGCGTAAAAATATGAAAATTAAAATTAAAGCTTGGATTAACTGAAGAGCTCACAAGAATGATACAATTATATGATCGATAAAACGCCCAGCACAATCTTACGATTGCCGCGCAAGTACATGTATATACGATTGTTGAAATGCGCATTGTGCCTATCGGTAAATAGTGCGGAACATTTACCCTGGTCATGAAGAAATGAGGCAAATGATTAAGGAAAGAATTGATAAAGTGCATATTAATTGTAATAACTATAATTAAATTTTTTTCTCCAAAAATGGCTATAAAAATAATTTAAAAATAATAATAACAATTTTTAAAAATCACTTAAAATAAAATAAAATAGAAT